TAAAAAAGTCTGCTGAATACACTTACAACACTGCCTCAGATTCTTACGTACTTCTTATCTTCAACTGTAGTAAGTGTATGCTAGTTCAAATTCCACTCTTCTGTCATAAAGGGAGTGAGTATTCAGTTAGTTTCAGACTGCAATTAAGAAAAATCCATTTCTTGCTTCAATTAATGGGGTACATACTACAGTAAAAACACCTTTCCTAACAAGTTCCAGTTTTAACACTTATTAAACCTTATTACTTATTACTTATTAAACCTTACTTATACAGCCAACAAGTGGATAAAAGAAATCTTTCTCTTTGCATATGATAAAGACTGCCTTTGATAAACATCTCTTTATATTTTAAAATAAAACCTGAATCATTGAAAGGACTTAAAATACATATAGCTAGGTTATCTTTACAGGATATGAAAACTCAGAGATAAGGAAACTGACGTCATGTTAAAACATGTCTTAGGAAGTCCTTTTATTAGTACTGATGAATGAACTTTTAACACTCTCATTAACTGAAAGAAAAATAACCAACCAATTTGCTATTCTTAAAACAACTATGAAACAGTTCCAGAGAAGGCAGTCTTCAAAAGTGTAATTTCTGTATAGTCTTCGTCAGTAATTAACTAAGTAACCTGTAGATGATGCATCTCTTTTCTTTACCAGAACCAAGAAATAAAATTAGTAATTTTTTTAGGCACCAGTGTAAAAATATGTCTCTCTGGAACCCTGTGCTGCAATCAAATTTATTTGTAAATGGTTACTTTTATAGCAGAATGAATGCTATTCATATATATTCATATATATATTCATATATAGATCTACAAATACACACAAACACACACACAAAAAAAAAAAAAGCTCCTGAAGCCCGAGTGAAGTCTCACAAATGGAAGTATTTTTCACAGATGAAAAATAAGAGTGGACTGAAGTTGTGCAGGCAAAACATGGGAGTTACAGATCTCACAAGTAAAGTCACCAGTCCTGTGCACTGTTCTTCATTTTTCCTGAGACTCTACACATTGTGACCACCACATGCACAAAATGAAAATAGCATGCCTCATCTTCACATATAATTCCGTGTTGCATTGTGAAAAAAAAAAAAAAAAAAAAGTCAGAGACCTTGAATACTGCATTTTCCTCAGCCGTCCTATGTCATTTTCGTATTTGTACTAAGAAAAACACTTGCACGCAACCGCATTTACTCCCATGTAACAGTAGAGGGGGCCCACTTCCTTAGAAAAAGATCCGAGTTTTGCCTCGAAGTTGAATTTAGTGTCTGTGCTACTAGTGAAATGGAAAACGTGAAAAAACACTAGTAAGCATATCATCGAAGAAAGTTACTGTGTATTGAAAATAAAGTTATTTTATAGTTATAAACAGTTATAAATCAGAGCCTCACAAGCTCTGATTTACTGGTGGAAAACCCACCCTAGTTTTACCTAAATTGTTTACATTTTATAAAAACATGTGCAGAACAAAAGTCAGAATAAAAAGAAGGAAAGGCTATTACAACACAGAGTTACTACTATCTACCCAGGATAAGTGTGAACTTCCTATAGAGAAAAAGGATTGATTAGTTCAGGTTTGGGTCATGTTCTTAATTAGTTGCTTAAAGAAAATTAAAAATAAATAAGACCACGACCCCATATTTTTTAAAATTAGTACAGTGACACTGTAATAATTAAATCAGATGGCCATCTGATTCCACCAAGGATCCATAGAAATCTTTCTTTCCAGGTCTTCCCACTGAAAATGTAATTACCATTCCACAAAACAAAAACTGCAGTTTCCAATTTTCCTATTCTTCTCTTTAATTACACATGCTAGAGTTACAATCTTTTTATTCTCTACCATTGTAAGTACTTTGCAACTTTCTGTTACCTGAGCTGTTTCATTCACCATGTTTAACCCTGTAAAAAAAATGAAAGAAAATAACCTACAGATGCCCGTTAACTATTACCATTTTTAAAAATGTATTGCCTGTGGTGTGATTTAAACATAAAAATGCAAAAAAATAAAAAAATATGTTTGGTGCTTAAATTTTCAAACTTTATCCTTTTATTTTAAAAAAACCCAACAAAATATGCCTTTTTTTTTATTTGCATATTTACACCCTAATAATAACATTTATTTTCAATAGTTGAATTTCTTTGTCATCAAATTACAGTGGCATATATTTTATAGTAATGGAATCTCTTAGATGTTTCTTCTTGTTTGGGGCAGGGGAGAAATGTCTCACTAAATATATTTTACAATGTTTAAGTTACTTTAGAATACTTCTTTGAATACTCCACAGAAGCATCATAAGCAGGTTACAAGAAACTGGTGAGGTGCACTAATGATACACACCAAAAGAGGGCTTCAATATAATATTAAGCAGGTTTTTCTAGTAGGAAATAAATAACATTCTAATTAGTACTAGAACTTTTGCAAGATCACGATTGAAATGTTAAAGATAGATTTTGTTCAAATGAAAAGGTATTTTGCTTCAATGATATTCAAAGCTATTCTTGAGTATCTCTTTGTTCTTTTTGATTTTATAGCACACAACCTCTTTATGAGACAACTGCTCAAAGTTGTAACTTCACTATATATGTTGGCATACAATTTTGCTCTTCAATCCTCTCAGCAGAATACAGTATCCTCCATGATGGCAGTTAAAATCCCACATTTCCAAACCAGCCCCAGCAGCTAGTTTTCAAAACCAAAGCCAAATAAATTACACAGATACTTGTGATTTTGGCACACAACTAAAAACTAACCAGTTATCCACAGTTAAAATTAGCTAAACTACAAAATTAATTTTACAGGCAAAGCTTCATAAGTAAATATGTATGCATGTGTGCACAGGGTGGTTAGGCAGTTAAAAGGGGGCCTGGAAGAGATTTGTTCACACATTGAGCATATCCAGCTCTCAGAATATGAAGCAACAACAAGATGTTATGAAAGCTATTAATTTTTTATATGGGCATCTATTAGTCATTTCTTACGTAACATAATAAACATTTTTACAGAAATGAAAACAAACAAACAAGCAAAAACAAAAACAAACACTGAAATCCAGGAAATCTAATGCAATTGGACACGTAAAATATATGTTTTTGCTGTAGATTTGAAATTAGGGCTAAACCAAATGAAGAAAAAAAGAGGAGGAGGAGGAAGAGACATTCAACAGCCAAATGACAGAATGACTGCATAAAAATAATCTTTTTTTCAAAACCTAACTACCAGAACACCAAACTTTTCCTTAAACTATAGATGTCAACTCATCAGCAGAATATTATTTGTTATGGATACTCAGAATATATTTATTTTAAAGTTGCTACAATGTGGTAACCTGGATTCTTCTATGTTAAAATTAGCTCCAGAAATTTTTTTTCCGTAGAACAAAGTATTGGCACAAAGTACAGAAAAAAAATTACACAAATCTCAGGTGCTTAGAATTTTACTCCATTGTAGATTAAGATGGTCACTTTTTGAAACAGAATCTCTTTGCTTCTCAAGATATGTATTTTTTACTTTTTCCTTTGAATCAGACTTACCATTTCCATGGTAAATCAGGTGAGAAAGATGTGTCAGTGGAAATTATTCCCACCAAAATCTCCACAAAATCCCAATTAATTTACAACCGAATTAAATACAGAAATTAGTATATTCTATATCATCTGGAGTAAAGGAAGCAGCTTGACGGTAGATTTATTAAACCTGGCCTGAAATAATAAGCAAGAGTTCAAGAGATTCTACAGGTGTAATTAAACAGATATCCCTCTCTCAAAACTTAATTCTATAAGAAAATGTTTATAAACATGGATAGGGGATTAAACAAACAACTACCTATTTCTAAATAACTCTCTACACTTTTTTTTTTTTTCTTTTTGCAATTATGGAAACCTGGGATTTTAGTTTTTTCTTGGAATGGTCTCCATAAATCAAATTTTACATTTTGAGATAACAGTTTTATTAATAAAAGTAAAAAAAAAAAAAAAAGACTTTTTAAATTAATATTATCTGAAATAAATCTTCAGCTAGAAAGAAAAGTGCCTTAGGTTAAAATATTAAATACCATGCTACCAAAAATACCTCAATATGTTTAGTCTGATTATATTGATGTCCTAAGGAGAAAGTGAGTTTTTTTCATTAATGACTTTGGAAGAATTTGACCAATTAAAGGTAGAAGCTGTAAAGATTAAGTCAAAGTAACAGTATTTATTGATTGTAAATTCTGTAAGGCAGCTAGGTAAGGCAGAAAAATTGTATTTGCAGCTTCCTCAAGTAGGCTTAGTGAGAAATTTGCATCCAAAGGACACACATGAAATAGAATATTTATGGATGACGCAACTTCATTTAAAAGATTCATTTTGAGAACATACTGCTTCAGACTCCAATCAACCGCAAGACCCCAATCTGTAGCTAAGCAAGCTCTCTTCTTTCTGCTGTTCCTTAAGCTTATTTTTCAAGCATATAAAAGGGTAGTCTGGGTTATTAATAAGGTATACAGTCAGGACTATGGACTTTCTACTCCTACCACTGAATCACATTAGAATTATATTAGTATTTACCTCTATTTCTTAGAAAACAACTTGAAATGAGATACTTATCCTAACAATTATTCTTATGAAAAAATGTACAGTACAGCAGTTGCATTAACAGATGTTGATTAAGAACTTAAATCTTAAAATCAGAGTTACATTTTGAAGAAATACTGAAATACTATCAAAGCTCTGTATACAGAAGCATAGAATTATTTATGCTGCAATTATTCTAGGGAAGTGATGGACTGAATCCTCTTTTACCAAGGACCAGCTTTACTGGATGTTTTCACTAGTTGCAACTTCAGGAATTGATCAAAAGCTGCATTAAATGAAATAGTTTACTGGTTAAATACTCTGTTCTAACGATTTACACTGTGTGTCAATTATTACTTTCTGCAGTAAGAGCATTCTTCTGTCATTGTTTTACTTAGTGATCCAATATAAAAGTGTATTCTCTGTTCTCTACTTTTACTTTTTCAGGAGAACTGCTAATACCTGTTTACTGGAGTCAGCCTCTTTCCTGACTTGAAATGAAATGACATAAAGCACTCCACAGTCATATTCTTGGAGTAGCCTGCACAAATAAGAGAACAACTGCATGAACCTTGCTACTTAAAACATCTTTAAACACAGAAACTCAAGGCAGAAAATGGTATCAGTTTAATAGCAGAAGATACAGATGCTGCCTTGCTGCTCAGTTTCCTGCATTATGATACTGAGTTTAGATCTGCTTCTGTTTATGACTGCAAATTATACTTGTGTCATGGATTAATATTTAATTAATTTTAGATGAGGTATAGGGATAGGGATACAGGGTATAGGGATATTTAACTATTTTCAAGACAAAACACTTTTTAAAAAACTCCTTCATTCTTTAATTCACTTTGTTTTGTAGTTGAAAGTAACAATTTCCTTGAGGAAACTTGTGTTTACACATATGATTACACAAGTATAGCTTTTTATGACAAAAAATATCTGAAAGAAATATTTTTAGAGTATTCAGGATAAAAGATATTCAGCTTGCATACGCAAAATATTCCTATGCCTAATGTTCCCATTGTTCCCAAGGTACTCCTGCAATGCTGAATAGATGTGAAAACAAATAATTTAATTGGATGCCTAAAGCAGACAAGATTTCTCGTGAAAAATCTGCCATCTGTCTTACACTACTGTGGCCATAATCTTCACCAGCTGTCTGATGATGAAATTTAAATTAAGAGTATATATGAATGCAAAAATAGTATTTTAGAGTTTAGGATATACAGACATAAACAGATATACAGACATATAAAATGATTTGGATATACAGACATATACAAGTACAAAACAAAATTCTATTATAAAGTGAACTTTAATTCAAGGATGAGATACTTCGCACATATAAATATGGGTCAGCAATCTTTAAACTACTAAAATATTAATAATGAAGGCAGGCACTCCTATTGCCCATATATGCCCTTGTCCACACCACAGGCTGTAAGTTACTGTTGTGGCAAAACTACCATTAAAATGTACAGAGGCAATAAGCAACAGAAAGTAAAACATACAAAATTAATGTAAGAGAATATTATTCTGTCTTTACTCCTGGTAGCTGATGCTCATATACTTATTAATAATGTGAAAAGTTATCTAAAATTTGGCAGCATCTCCAAGTAATTGTTTTCATGAAAGACATTTTTGTTGTTTTTCATTGAGCTGGAGGAATAATTACTGTCAACAAAAAATGAAATGTTGTAGTGCACAACATGACCTTGTATGATAAAAGTGTTTTAAATGGCAATAAACACAGTCTGGGGAAATGTGATGGTGGTTTTGCTACAATATATCCGTGAGGGTTCCACTTATGTATAGTAATGACAAATTATCATTTCAACATGTTCTGTCAGGTTCCTGTCAAACAAATGGCAGGCTGAACACCAGGGATTACAATCAAAGATTTAGTAAAATTGATCATACAAAGAAAAATAGTAATGACCCACAGCTTTTTTCAGCCAGCTCTATTGTCCCAAACCCACCAAAGTTTCATCAGGAGAACAGCAAAAACTAGTAAATTGCATTGTTTCAACTATTTCAATATCTTTACCACAATTCTACAAAAAATAATCCAAGCACACACTTTGAATTAAAAGATATTTTTTCTTGGTAATGTGTCTTGATTATGTTTCTTCAATGATGAGATATTGCATAGGCTTAACTAGATTACCATTATTATAGTGCTGAAATATTACAGCTTTAAGTAAAGAAAATATTAAAATCTTATATAGCCACTATGGAAAAAATTGTAGATTCATAACAAATATTATTCACTATAATTCTGTCTCTGTCTTCCTCAAAGACTTTCAATCCCTTTTATGTATCTCTAGTCTCAACTTGCTGATATCTGACCTTGAATTTTATCGTTTAAAACCTGGGTTTAATTTTACTGTGTTCTAGATCACCCTGTAGGATTCTGCTGATATTTCATCTGCTTCAGTGTTTTCTTAATCTCATGTAAAAACAATCTATCAGAGCTTTTTTTTACTCTCCAAACCCTGTTTACAGAATAATAAAATGATGTGACATCCCCCTAGATATACTTACATTGGAGATACTCTACCAGAAATGAGCTGAAATTAATTTTTGACATTGTCAAAATAGGTCTTACTCAGTGTGATGCTGATTCTTCACTAGTTTAAATTTTCTAAATCAGAGTATTACATAGATATAAGTCAAACAGCTCAAGCAATGGGAAGAATAAAATGTGAGGAATTTGCTAGCCACATTTTTATCTCATTTAAAAATAATATTGAATATATAAATGTGAAAAGAAAAATAAAGAGGGTGAATATATCATTAATTATCAATCATGATATGCTGAATATCTCACAGAAGACTGTTAAAGAAACAACTCACACGTGAGCATTACTTCAGAGATTAATCATCAAAAAAGGTTTGCAAGGTAATGTTCTTCAACCTTTTGTATAGTGTAACATCACCTTAGCTGTCCATTCTAAAGTATCTGATCCTCTGTGTACTAAGAGTTCTAAACTGCACTACAATAAAAATATTATTTTTTATTAACCTGAACTACAATTTACAATTTGTGTTATCATTTCCACCAGATAGTATCCTGCATACCTTTCCCTTCTCCAGGGAAACACAGGATCCTGAGTGCTTAAGGAAATATGAGTCATACAACAGGCTGTCTTCTACAGAGTGGCACATATGAGTTTATTGTAAAAAATATTAGAATTCGGTGTTATATAGACTTCTACAATTACATTGTATCATTGTTCTTGCATAGAGCCATAATATTAAATTCTAGAAGTTTCCTATTACCTACATGATAGTACCTAAGGTACCCGACAAAGTAAAATTTTGATGAAGACTGTAAAAGGCTTGGGCAAAAACCACTGCTGTATTTCATTTCACTGTTAAGTATTTCATAGTTTTATGTTACACCCTGCTATGGGCTGTCTAGATTGACATATAAGTCACAGGTCTCTCATTAGCCATTCAATTTACAGACGGTAGCAGAGCAGAACTTAAGCTAACTACCTGGTTAGAGCAGTAACCTCTGCCTCCATAGGTGTCTTCCTCTGTAGCTGGAAACCTAGAAAGTTTTTCTCAGGAGATTTGCAGAATTTGGGATTTTTTTTTTTTAATAATATGGTAGGTAAATTGATTTTATAAAAAGCAAAGCAATGAAAGGTGTTCTTCTAGGTTAGGTACTTCCTCTCTAGTCTTCAGACAGCACACCCTCTCCGAGTACTAAATTAGAATACCTCTCAGTAGATATGACCATATCATTTGGCAAAATTGCCAGCAAAACAGTGTGGATTTCCCTGCAAACACACAACTGTAACTAATTCACAACATTTTATTAAAAACTTACCTTGTGACAAAAAAAAAAAAAAAAAAAAAAAAAAAAAAAAAAAATGCATGCATTGGATACCATAAAATACTTAGATTTTGGAAAAGGGCTACTCTTTTTAAGAAGCAGTCATCATCTTGGAAACTTTAACTAAAATCACTTTGGATTACACAGCTAGGGTTTTTGTTTTTTTCAATTCTACGTTAAGTGGCAAGGAAGTGAAGAGTGACCAGAGCTGACTATCAAACAACAAGGTATAAATCAGAAAACAAAACACATGCATAGACTGCAAAACTACCCACAAAATTTACCTGCATTTTTATAGGAATTCTGTCTTTCTTGTGAAACTGGGAGAAAACACTGAGGAACAAATTATCATCATATTCAGATGGGACTGGGACTTACAGTTTCATTTCTTATATGCAGAGCCATATATAAATAGAGTAATAGGTAACTTGGCAGATAATAATAAATAATAATTGAATCATAGATAGCTTGACAAAAGTTGTGTTTGATAGCCATTCTCTGGGTAGATCCCTTTTATAGTCTCTAAGGTGAAACTTAACATGTAGACCTGATGCATGTTCCAGCTTTCTGTTTCCAGTTTCAGTTTCCTGTTTATTTGAAGGAATTCCTGCTGTGGGTTTAGAAAGCAAGAAAGATTTCCCTGTTTCTTGCTCATCACTTTGTATGCCAAATAAGAAAAACAGGAATAGAGAAAATCCCAGTATATCCCATATATCATCCAATATAAAAGAAGTTAATTTTACAACTATATTTATCAAACCTGTTATTTATACAGCAAATGCAAGAATAAGTTATATACATGGAATTTGAGATTGATCCTTAAGGAAAACTGGTTTTGCTACACTTCCTATTTAGTGAAAGTGTAGAACATTTATGTCTGTTAAACCAAATTCTCTATGAAGTGACTACTGATCTGTTTTAATTCAATATCTTCATAACATATTTTTCTCACGTGCTTAGATAATCTCCATTTTAATAAAGGTCCCACAGTTGTAGTAAATGTGCATTGCTTGGTTTCAAGATATTTTGTATTTAATCTATTATTACTAAATCTGTAATTTTCATTACAGTCTATACACAGTAGAATGTCCCTGCTTCATACAGACACTGACAATAAAAGCAGTGCAATTACTCTTAATATTAACACAGAATAGCTGTTTGTACAAACATTTAACTTACATTTACAACCTCTCTGTTGCTGGTCTTTTCATATGTTTTCAATAAATCATCAGAATCACACATACACATGAATGTCCAGATAACACATAAACATGTACCAATATTATATATTCACATAAATATATGGACACATGTATAAGATATATTAAAAAAATTCTTCCCAACCCTCTCTACCCAAATATTATATATTTCAAGATTCACTCTGTTGAAAATTACCTCAAAGATAAATACTTGTCCGACAGCATAAATTTCTGACCTTTTTTATTTTTTCATTTGGAAGAATGCAGTACTTCCAAAGGTGCAGCAGATTTTATGTGCAGAACAAAGCCTGTATGAACAGCACTATACAGAATTACCATCAGGTATCCAAAACTTAAATGCCTGCTAATAATCCATTGCATAGAACTATTATCTAATTGCTGGGAATTAAGCTAATATATAAGGTTTATATTACCACTATCCCAGTACCAAATTGTTTTCAACCCTAACCTGACAGAAAATGTGGAGTATTTTGT